TAGTGGGGCTAGTCCTGGTCGATTTCGAGCACCCTCTCCTTAATATGATCAAAACAAGTAATGATGTTAAGTAGTTATATCTTCTATTTATGTTTTCTTTCTTTTCTTGTGACGTCATCATATGTATTCCATCTATATGTATGTGATCTTTCTAGTATATTCGTTCTCCTTCTTTCTTGTGTATGTGTTCTCTCGTGAGTTCCTAACTCTATTATCTTCTCGTGAATTCTGTGACTTTCCTTAACTCCGTATATATATATATATATATATCTGTTGTTTACAACAGTAAAGTGACATACACATACGTGATAACTAAAGCTTTTATTAGGCTAACAATTGGATAGTGATTCATAACCTATCAATGAGTTATTTCATGCATGTTTACTAAACTTCTACAATCAAAAGTTCATATATGTCAAATTTGTAACTTGAATTCAATTGAAATTGAAATCTTCAACTTTCAACTTTCCAACCGACAGCAATCTGAAGAATCGTGACTTACACGCATCATCGCTGTTAGTTTGAAAGTTAAAAGTTGAAGATTTCAATTTCAATTGAATTCAAGTTTTAACTTTGACACTACTGCTCTTAAGATGCTAGAAAAAAGACTAAAAAAATGAGTACTGTTTCTTTTATTACTATTGAGCAAGACGCTTTGCTTGTAATGGGCAAAATAATTGAAATATCAAGATATTTTTAATTCGCAAGTGAATCATCACTATTCTTATCTTAACATTAATATTATTCATTGCCCGTTCAATTATTAGACTTTCTCTTATTTTTGAGGGTCGGTTGATCTTGATGTCAATTCAATTCGATTGTTAGTATTCTTTTATGTGCTTACTTAGCATATGAGTAAAATTATAGAATTGAAATCGACTTGATGTAATCAATATATGAAATCCAATCTAAAGTATAACAGTTAAAATCTGGCATAAAATGGGGTATTCAATATCCGTTAATATTAGTTTAGTCTATGGAAAACTAGTATTTATTTTATTAGATATATAGAAGACGTGTATGTGTATTTTCATTGTTTTATTGAGATTGATAGAGACCATTCCTATGAGTTAAGTTAGTTTAATCCGAAAGAGAATTAACCTAACAAGTATACGAAAAAAATCGTTTTTAGGTAAATATTTTATACATAACTAAATAGATGTATTATCAGGATTATGTCCAGATCAAACTTCTTTGATTCATATTGTTTTTGTCTAAAACAAGCTTGCTACAGTTGAAAACACAGTAAAAGATCTATGCCATATTAGTAGAAGATCTTGCAGAGATATCATTTTAGAATTCTCTATGTTTCATTCATATTTATTTTTGTTCATAATAGAATGTTCTAACTTTTAACAAGTTAACTGGATTCTTATTTAAATTCTACAAACTTTATCGATAAGATTTCTCTTTTTATTCTGTTGATCAGCAGAGTCAAAATCATCGAAAACTATTGCATCACCACAAATTCTCTTAGATTTCTCTTGAGGAAAAATAGTCCTTCAAATGCATTCGAAATATCAACTAAAATAACATTTGTTAGTCGAAAATTCTTTTCTCGGAAATAATCACAAATAACATTACACGTTGATCTGTTTCTTATAGGATGAGAAAAACATCATGTTGCCATACCAGAAAAGAATCTGAATATTTCTCCTGTATTTTGATAAAATGATCTGATTTGTTTGTCCTACTACCGACAAAATGTTCATCAATCATATTTATCATAAAAAATATCTACAAATAATCGTTGAAGTTTCATTATTGACTTCAAAGAAAGGAGCTGAAACTGTTCATAACTTCTGACAAAAACTATAATCTAGTGTTTTAAAAGAATTCTTACAAAAACAAAATAGGGAAATATTTATTTTCTATAATACTAATAGTAATGAGGCATATATATGCGGAGTATAAATTTCATACTGAACGGCAATAGTATAAAGTATTAATAGAAAGAAAATCAATGAAATTTGATTTTAGCTAGGATAATAATTATCTTGCATTGCCAGGGATTATAAAATATTAGTCAATGTATTTTCTATGAATCAAATCAATAAATACTCTTCTCTAAATGTTAATAGGACGAGGTGATTTTGTGGAAATATATCAAATACATATTTAAAAGGTGTTTCTTCAGTAAAATCATGTTTCAATCACACTTCGCAAATGGAAATTTTCGCAGTCAATGTTTGGAATTAGAGTGGTATTTCTACCAGCGCCATCTTCCGTTGTAAAGTCAGATTAGCTAATGAAGTTTAATCAATCAAATTTAGTCATCATGTTACATTGTTTACCAATGATTTCATTCAGTTTCTTTTTTTATTTGCGACGCACATAAGCACAAAATTACATTGAATAACTTATCATGTCAATATCTCTTCTTTCGAATACATACAATCGTCAAAATTGGGAAGATGCAGTATGTAACTTGTATGAGTCATCGATTGATATACTTAACTTTGATATTTAGGAGTTTCCAATTTTATGCCAAACGTGTCTGGGCGATAATCCTTACATTCGGATGGTAAATTTCTTCAATTTATTATTCGTTTTTTTCCTATTTATATATAATGAATAACTGTAGATGAAAGAACGATATGGTCAAGAATGTAAAATTTGTAATCGCCCATTTACAATCTTTCGTTGGTGTCCAGGCGCTCGTATGCGTTTTAAGAAAACTGAAATTTGTCAAACTTGTAGTAAATTAAAAAATGTTTGTCAAACATGTTTACTTGATCTTGAATTTGGTTTGCTCTTGTGTTTTTTATTCATAATGAGAAAATACTCAACATAGAATCTTTAATTATAGGTTTACCTGTTCAAGTCCGTGATGAAGCATTAGAAATTACTGATACTATTCCAAAAGGTCAAGTTAATAAGGAATATTTTACACAAAATGCTGAAGTTCAAGTAATAATATTTTTTTCTTTTGTTTCATACTGATTGAATACAAGCTTTGTTTTAGATGTCACTCGAACAAACACCACAACCGTATGGCCAATTAGCTAAAGCACAACCACCAAGTGATGTTCTCATGAAATTAGCACGATCAGCACCTTATTATAAACGAAATCAACCTCATATTTGTTCGTTTTATGTGAAAGGTGAATGCAAACGAGGTGAAGAATGTCCTTACAGGTATGAATTGATATTTGTTTTCGTCGACTGTAGAATATGAATAAATAATTTTAATTTCGAAGACATGAAAAACCAACTGATCCGGATGATCCATTATCAAATCAAAATATTCGTGATCGATTTTATGGTGTTAATGATCCAGTTGCAGAAAAATTATTATCACGTTACAAAGAATTACCACAATTAGAAACACCAGAAGATAAAACAGTAACAACACTTTATATTGGAAATGTTGTTGATATGGATGAACAACAACTTCGGTTTGTTTGTTTAATTCGAATATCATTTTATTTTTTATTTTTATCGTATGGTAGTGATCATTTTTATCAATATGGAGAAATTCGTTCCGTAACTGTTGTACCCAAGCAATCTTGTGCATTTGTACAATTTACACAACGTGATGCAGCTGAACGTGCCGCAAAAGAATGTTTTAATAAATTAGTTATTGATGGGAAACGTTTGACTGTTAAATGGGGTAAACCAGCATCAGCACAAGGAACCGGTGGTCGATCGGGTGACGGTGGCATTTTTGAAACCAATTATGAGCCTGTACCTGGCCTTCCAACAGGTAAAATCACAATGCTATATTTATTCACCGATTTTTTTTGTATTTTATTTTTAAGTTGTTCCAATGCCAACTAATGAATTGAAAACTGACTTTTTTGGTTTATCATCATCATCGAATGCTGCTGTTTCAGCAACTACAACTTCTTTTTTACCACCACCACCAATGCCTCCACCAGATCTAGGCGATTATACATCATCGTTATCATATGGGCATATGTCGATGGTAAATAACAAATATTTTCGCTGTTTTTTTTTAAACTTTTGTTTATTCATTATTAGCCCAATGCCAGTGGTATGCCACCTCCATTATCGTCATTACGTGCTAGTGTACACTATCCATCTCAAGATCCATCACGTGTCGGTTCAACAGCTGCTCATGGAAAACCTAATGAATAAACTGATCGTTTTCCTTTATATTATTCTTTGTGCGTGCATGTATTCATGTCATGTTTATGTATTCAATATAGAAAAAAAACTTGTTTTTTGTGAATAACGATTATGAACGTAGTTTATGCTAATCACTCACGACAACAGAAGTTTTAATGAAACACTGATGATCTTCGCTAAATTAAAGGTGAAAACTTCTGAGAAAATAAATCGTAAACTCTTCACTAGGATCCGAGTCTAATAAGATTTTTTTGAGCTTATGAAAATTTTTGACTGGATAGGCTACAGACGGTCTAGCGAAATCTAGTGATCTGATAGAGGAAAAAAGGAATCTTCATGATACTGATAACATGGTAAACAGTAAATCTTACTGAAATTATTAAAATAGGGTTTCACTTGGTTTGTATCCAAACAATGCTAAATCAATTAGATCCGAATATTATTCATTCCTATTCTGTCCATAGAAATTTAACATAACGAAAACTAGCTAGAGATATAGTTCGATGAATTCTGTAGGCGATAAACTACAAAGTAATCAATTAAAGTTTCCAGTATATTTGGTCATATTCTCTGGATAAAATTTATCATAGATAAGATTAACAACTATTCTAAACGGAACATTGTTAGGATTCGTTATCATTACAAATTATATCTGAATAATCCATTGTTATGACTGGATAGTATTATAAATTTAAAATATCTATGAAGAATAATTCTTAATTAAGTCATCGCCGTTTCTTCCATTCGTAAAATTTCATAAAATACTAACGAGTTTTCCAACTGAAAACAAATAAATAGAAAAAAATTCAAATAATGAAAGAAATGTAATCAACAAGATCATTAGGAGTTTTCCTAGTGATCATATCTATAAATTAGTCGAACTCAATACTTCATTAGATAAAACTTGTATACTTTTATAAGAAGAAAAACATAAAAGAAATTCAATGAGACGCATACTTTTGTCAATCCCAATCCACGCGGACCTATGCCCAAGACCGCTCATATTTCAGTAATACACAACGGAAACAATAGACGTATGCATATTATACGTAGAAAATAATATCTGTCATGATCAATTTCAGTTATTGTTCATTTGTATTTTTCTCTTTTCAATAGCAGATAACTTATTATATAGCTACTCATTATTATTACTAAACAAACATGAAACGTTTCTTATATGCAATGGTCTTGTCAGCAATTATGATTTTTGTCTTAGTTTTAATGAAATAATATAAAGATTTTGAAATAACTATATTTTTGAAGACAGCCAAATTAAGGTCCTTCTTTTAGAGATACAACAGAAGATATGAATTCTCTCATTTGTCAAAAAGAATATTTTCAAAGTTTCTGATTTTTTTAAAAATAGGAATCAGGTCATTTGAATACACGATATGAAAAAAAAACTATGGTCTTCGAGGCAATATTAGAACATAAACATATTTAAAACTCAATAATTTATTGAGATAGCAATGCAAATGCTTCCAGAATTTTTCATGAGAATCCTACAGAGCATTTCTAGACTCTTGCGCTGCATATGACATAACAACTAGTGAAACATCACTATTTACTTCTTTTATTGTGTTAATGATATTTTCTCAGCGAAACTCGATTAGCATTTTAAATGATATCATACCCTTTTTCAATCAAATTTTAAAACGTAAAACTGATAGAAGAAGAAATTAAAGTAAGAATACTTGATAATATCGATACGGTAAGTATATGAATCAGTCGTCGAAGTAGAAGCGTATCTTTGTAGTTTCTCTTGCGGTTCTTGCACTAGTCTCAGTCTGTCATAACTTGATCAGAACTATCGATATTTAAGTGTTTTGTGCGAATTATCTTATAGATCATGTCGATGAAAATGAACATCACTAAAATTTATTAAACGTTAAACAAATCGACAAACGAAGATTTCAGATTGTTTTTAGGTTGAATATCGCTCAACTCGAGAATTAGCGGTATGATTTTAGCTTTACTTGACCATTGCCCCCCGTCTGTATTAGTATAGAAAACAATTCAAAACGAAAGCATATGCATCAAATTAATTTTTTTGACAATTATACAATAGAATATGAACTGGTGCTATTTATTTGGCAACATTTCTATTTAGAATAGTTTTTTTTTCTTGATCTAGGCCAAGATTAGGATTTGGAAAATTTAGTTAAGTATAGTTCAGATCCTAACAGCATTAACCGCCTATCAAACCAGATATTTTTTTAACATATATTCACATAGTGCTCATTGTTTTTACTGATTCTCTTGATAAACAGATGATCTCTTATTACAAAACTTTGAAAAGCCGTTGTTATGCTACACTGTATTAGTTTTATTGGTTCATACGTCAAAAACAAAATTTGATGTAAATTTTTGACGGTCTTTTTTTAATTCTATGCTTACCATCTGGTGCGAAAAATGCAGCTGCTGCTCTGCAATATTCTTTTCTATATCAGTCACATAAATCACTACGCTAACCTTTTCAGTTTGATTGATTAGATTCACTTCAATTTTTATTGTGATGACGTTATTATAGGTTTGTGAGAATGTTTATTTTGAAGATGAAAGATTGAATCGAAATATAATTCGAATGCTTTTTAATCATTGAAAGAAGTTTATCTTGCCTTCCTGGAAGATTTTATGGAATCCAACTATTCTGTGCCAGCTCTTTTATGACTTCATTCGAGTGTAAGATCTGGCACGGAGATTTGCTGTACTACTTTCAGAGGCTACAATACTGTGAACGATTGTTGCAAGAAAATATAAATTCAATTATTGAATATAAAAGTATCTTATCATATGTGTTGTTGCATTTAGCTACGTTAAAATTGAGTTCTTGTCAATTACTAATTTTAATAGAAAGTGTCTCATGCACTTACATTTTGAAAAATAAAAAGAAATGAAATAAAAGCTTCATCATGGCGGGCAGGCGTTTTTATGACAAAAGAAAATTCTATTTACATTGAAAACAAAACGTACTGACGGATTAGTTTTCTAGAAAGTTTTACTATGAAAACCAGCCGAACCTTAATTTTAAAGAGTGACACTAAAGTAGTTATGTATTCTGATAAGCGATCATTATTTGCATGGCTCATAAAATCGTTTCATTTCTTTAGATGGAAGAAATAATGTAGATGTACTTGTTGCTTGTAGAATGATTTGCCAGACTTTGACCATTTGAGTGACCTGATATTATCGGTGTGCCCTTCAATCTACTTGCATTTTTTCTTTGTCTACCCTGTTTCCAATGACAAACAAAGACAAAAAGACAGCAGTTATTATCAATTACTCATATAATGGTATTAAATCAAGTGTTTCAAAAGAATCAGCACGCGTTTGCTGACAGCGATGCCTATTTTCACTTTTTTTTCTTGCATTTTGGTATTGTTGAATTGAGTTTTTTACAGTTTACCAATACGAAAAAAAAACATGAGCTCAGTTCCAAAATCTGGTGATATCGACGAAGAAAATAATATATTATCAACAAAAATAAAATTAACAAAAAATGAGTATAACGCAACAGTACGTAACAAACTTGAATATAATCGTCTCAAAGTTATAAAAAGACATATCGGATATCAAAATGATATGAATGCCTGTAAATTGCGAACATCTGTGCATGATTTAAAAAAATGGCTGGATGATAATCAAAGAGTTGTTTGTAATATTAATGAATTCTTTACGAATAGACAAGTAAGATGTTACTTTTTATTTTCCAGAATCATTCGAAAACTCTCAATCTTTGCCATTTAGGTTCAATCAGCGCATCCTCATATGCGTTCTCGATTGCCTGGTGTTCGTTCAAGCTTTGCTCGTTCAAACGATGATCGGTCGCAGAGTCGAATGAAATCTGCATCGACACTTTCTCGGCCATACACTGCACCACTTCAAGTGTTATTTGAAGAAAAAATCGATCAAGGAGATACGGAAACTGATGATGATGAAATAGTACCATTGTCTATTTCTCGATTGACTTCAGGCAAACGTTCAGTAGCTCGATCTACGTCTGCTATTTCAAGTTCAGCATTTTCTCAACATCCAACTGAAACAATTGTTAATGAGATTGACACAAAACCACCGCCCATTTCATCGATAAGTCACCGTATAACATGGCCAGTTAAATTAAAAGTATTTGCATTACAAGATGAAAACGAATCTCGTCAACAATATTTAGCTTGGCGTGCTGAACAACGTAAAGTTAAAGCTAAACCTTCAACAGAAACATTTTTTGATGTTGAACTTGAACGAAAATATCAAGAATCAATTCGACGACGACAAGAAATTGAAGCCTATCTTACGCCAGAATTAATTGAAGAACATAAATTAAATGATCCAATATTTGCTAAGCGTTATCGACAATTTAAAATAGCTTTACATTCTGGTAAAATTCCATCCTATGATCCTAATGACTGTGAAATAAATATAACTATGACTAAATCAAAAATAGAACGTGCACGTTCAGAACTTATTACAGCTGAACAATCGAAAATCAAAACATATTATCAAAATCAACAAAATTCGAATGATTTACTTCTATCGAAACGTATTGAAACTTTTTTAAAACGACTTGCAAAACTTAAAGAAGATCAAGAAAGAGAATGCCAAGTTTAATAATTAAATAACCCTAGTAATAATAAAAACAAACAAAAAATTATATTTTCTGAAACCATGTTATTATCTCTGCAAATAAAGCCGCAGGAAGTTTGTTCACATTATATATGGAAAGTAAATCAAGACTTGAAACTTCCGATAATAGACTAGATACTTGACCACGAGGTATAATACGATAATAAATTGGAGTTAAACCACTATCATCTTGATTGGGTGATAATGGTGGTAAGTATAAACATGAAGAAAAACTATATTGCTTTAATTTATTGAAATAACCTTTAAATGTAAAGTTAAATTTTATCATTTAAATATTGAATTAAAAATATGCTAACAAACCTTGAACGATTTGATAGATTACTTTGATGAACCGTTCATCAAAATTCTCTGCTAAGACGATTATATCATACTCTTTACGTGATGTCTAAAAACACAAATAAAAATGACATATTTGCCGTTTTCTATTATCAGTTAAGAGAACAAGAAAATCAGCTGCTAGAAGATATTATCTCTTTCTTTTCTATTGTTTTCTTTGCATATTGTACAATGTATTGGGACAGCAGGAAAAAAAGAAGATAGAAACAACGTGAATGTAGGCGAGACATGATAATGTGTTGTTGAATATACGTATACATATTTGCGTAGTATATCGACTGGGTCGTTAAGAGAATAGGTGAAAGTGATGTGACGCGACACGGCGCGACAATGAAGAACATAATAACGAAAATTATTCGAACTAAGATTGTGTGTTAAAAACATGTGTGACAGTGAAAAACGAAATGATAATAATATATCATCATTGGTAACACAAATTCAAGAACAATTAGTATGTATTAACACACAACTGTAAAAGAATTCTTTTATAAAGAAGATAGGAAATATATAGAATTCTATTTATGTTACTTGATACTACCATAAAATAGTCAGACAAGTCTGTGTATCCATCTATGAGGTTAATAAAATAGAGGTATAACAAATAAGAAACAAACTTATCTTCTCATAGTATTTCCAAGAAAATACTCTGAAGACAAATCAAACTACTATCAGAAATTTCATATGTAATACAAATATGAGATCGAACCGCAATAGTGGAGATGGAGAAATATAATTGAATAAAAATCGATTGACAGTTTATTTTTGGCTAGGAAGATGTATATAAATGTAAATATTTTTCATTAGACATGGCATGATCTAATCATTCATACGCTAAAACCTTGTTTTACTTTAGAAATATATTCGTCAAGATAATATTGAATTAACTGAAAAGTTAACAATTCTTCATAATGATCTTTGTCATATTCGACAATCTCTAATATGCACTCACTCAAATTCAAACCGAAACACAACAAGTCTTATTGAAACATCAACAGCAAACCGTTATCATCCAAAACAACGTTCTGATAGTGAACCAAATATATTAAGTGATCGTCAACGTACATTAACAATAATCGATGACTTACAATAGGTACAAGAACTGTAATACCATTGAATGATACAGTCAAATTAAATGCCATATGAATATCTTGTATTGCTCGAAAATAATTTTTTTGATGATGTTTCTTAGCATTTTCATGATCACGATAATACCGTTCAGATGCAAAACGTATTGATTCAAATTGACCTTTAATAAAGAGCAGCATTTCGAAAAATGAAGACTAAACTTTTTTCTATCGAACCATAATAATGATCTGAATGAAGAGTTGCATGAACGTGCGGATGTACTTGTGAAGCTCCGCCATGTGGTAAACTATCCCAAAGCATAGTAGGAAAACGATGTGAAGGTGATTGTTTGTGAACAGCTTGAAACCTATATTTAATAAAAAAAAGAATTCTCTTGTCAAATAACTCTAAGTAGGCAATTGTTCTAATTGGCATACACCCTCTGAGTTTGTATTGAATTCACATGAAGTTCTCAATAAAATTAGCGCACGTCTAAAAGACTTTGTTCTTAGTAACGTTTAATGTAGAGCTATGATTTGCTTTCTAAATTTTAGAATTGTTGTTAGATACTTCAAGAAAAATCAACTAGCAGATTTTTCGATGAAAAATTTTGCTCTTAAATACGTTAAATCAATATACTTATTCACAGGAAAAATTTTGAATTGAAATTCTATACTTTTTATTTCATAGAAATTATCTAACAGTCAGTCGAACATAAAATGATTCGATTGTAATCTATAGTATGAGAGACCCATGAGACTGAACTATTGGTGACATTCACTGATCTCACTAAAATCTAGTTTCGGACTTTTTGTATATAATTTTGAACAACAAGTGACAATTGTTACAGTTTCATTATAGAATTAGAGCTGATTAGCCTTATTGTAAATTATGTTACAGTATTTTTAGTTGAGAAAAATGATATGATATATTTTTAAACAAGACTTCTATGCGCTTTTTCAATATATAAAAAGAAATAAGCTGAGAATATTTTGTTTTTATTCGTTTTACCATTTCCAAGCTAATGTAAAAACATCTTTCATTTCTTTAAATGTTAATTTAGTAATATCATGTTGTCTTGGCATAAACATCGAATGCCATTGATCAAATTTAAAGGCATTAGCTGCTGAATATGCATATTGATTTTCCATACGACCAAGACTATCAATTGCTGTCATGCTATTGTGAGTGTTGGAAAAAAAAGAATAAAATTCAATTCAACAATTGAAACAAAATTATTTACTTTTGATAATTGCATAAATCACAACTTTTCGATGTTTTCTCCATAGTTTGATTTAAACTGCAATGATAGAAAAAGTTTTAACTAAACAGTAAAACAAGAGACAAACTTACTAAACTTCAAATGATAGCTCAGGCGGTTGAATAGGGCGTCGACCCCGAAGTGGATTATAAACTGTATGTTCAAATGAGTACTTGTTTATAACAAAATGGAGTTCCTAGAGAAGGAATATTACTAGAAATATTTTCAGGTACTTGCACAAGAAATTTCTGTTTTCATTTGAGATTATATTTTATTAAGAAAGGAAAATTTCAGAAAAGATTTGTAATTGAAAACAAAAGCGAGATAAAACTCATAGATATGTAGGATTTTTCATGTTATTTTATGCGTTTGACACATTGTTAAATAAGCATCATCGTGTTCAACTGCCATTGAGAAAAGGAAGTGAGGACTGACTATATCTATCGTAGATTATGAACCGAACGAAAGGAAAATGTAATAATGATCAACAAAGTATCTTTTGATTTATATGCTAGTTGATATATGAAAAAATAACCAATTAGATTAGATATAATGAATTAGCACAATAACTATAATAGAATGAAATGTTGCTTTGGACTGAAATGAGTGCGTTTAATAAAACTAATTTGAATTTTTCTAACTGCCATTCAAGAATAATTTCTAGATACTATATCAAATAGTATTATAAGATTAAATTCTTTATCTTTAAACATGCTATATCCTATTCTTATTATTGTTACATGACTTATGACAGAAAACAATTCAACATTCACAATAATGTATCGGATTGTTTGACGCAAGAATAATTTATTACTCATATAAACAAAACATAAGATCTTAAAATGAATCAGTTCTATTGTGTCTGAATAACAGCAAATTGAAATGTCAAATCGACTGCGTATGAGCATAATCTGTTATCAGATTAAATGATTTTAGTCTTACGAAACCTAAATCTTAACAGTGCTGGTCTAATCGGATAGTTTTCTGTATAATTTTAAATACGAGTAGGTTGACTGTAACTGACTCGTGCGTTTAAAAATAGATAAACTAGAGTATGTAATGAATATTTCTTTTGAGATTCTAGATACTGATGCAGTCAACAAATTGACTTCAGATGTGATGAAATAATGAGTAAGGAAATGTTTAGTATCAAGATGGAAAAGTCTTAACAATCTTCTAAAACAAACTGAGAAAATTTTAAAGTAAAATACAGTGCAGAATGCATCGGAGTATTTAACCCTTTACGGCCGGATGTTGTCATTTGGCAACATTGTGTCGATATTTTAAGAAAGGCGTAGCTATACTGTGGATAGATTGCGAGTCAATAGTTCAATAATTACTACAGGATATTTTAGAACACATTCATAGCTCATGAAACAAAACAAAAACGTTCAGATGAGAAAAATTACCGGAGCCCTCCTGAATACTCCTAAAAAACAACTGAATCATAATATATGTTCTTATGGTACCATCACTCATTCAATCCCACAGGTCACTAGTGGTAAATTTCCCCGTCTTGCTCGATTGTATATTGCATCACTCAAAGAGATGATTCAATGAGTACTGATAATAAGAGGTATGGATGTTGCCAAATGGCAACAGCCGACCGTGAGGAGTCAAAATTTTTGAAAAATCATTTTTTGTTTTCGACCATCGTTATTGTCTATTTTGTGTTTTTTCATTTATTCATACAAGAACAAAGCATACAAAATATATCTGATGGATTTACATAGCTTTTCCTAGCTTTAAATGGAATTTTCTATGAAAAAAAACCAGCGTGATAGTATTGCAGCTCTCGAAAACTGGTGTGGAAATGGATATTTGATTTACATATAAGCTTGGATGTAGAGAAATAGAAGATCTACATAAATACCTATCCTGATGTCCACCAACACAAAAACTCGCACAGCACCTCTTTCCTCAAGTTCAACGTATGTCAAATTTTTCATGCAAAAGTGGATTTGAATCGCGGAGAAACCGTGCAGGTGTATCGTATATTTTTTTCTACACTTTTTCTTGAATGACTAAATGAAAAGAACGCAAAATAGTGAATTGTGGTGATCGAAAACGAAAAATAAATTTTTCAAGGTTTTGACCTTTTACGGCCGGCTGTTGCCAAATGGCAACATACAGCCATTCAACATAGAAGCACCGTTTAATTTTAAGAAATAGTTTTTTGCTATCTCTATGGCAGGATAAGAAAATATATCCAGAAGAACAGTTTTAACTATATCGCTTCTGGAAGCCGACTGGAAAGGATTAATTAGTCCTTGTGTATTGATTTGCTATGCTTATGGGTTATGAATTGAATATACTTTTAAATAAATATAGAATAATAAACTAAGTAAAAGCTGAAGATTTTGCTTAAAAATAATAAAAAGAACCTTAGAAAAGAACAATAATCTAAGAAGTATAAGTGCAAATGTGAATATATTCAAACCTGTTCAAGTGCTTTAGCATATAATGTATTGTCATCATTAAATATTTTTCTAATTTTTTGAGCAAATGTTTCAGGATATTCTACTTTAGCAATAGTTGTTTTCATATTATAAATCGAATCGATGATATGTATCACATCTCTATAGATAGAGAAACGTCAAAATTATCATTTACAATAAACAATACCAATCAGCAATTTACTTACTTACAAATACTAAATGCAGTATAATTTCTTTTATAATATAAATCAGGATCTTGAGTTGGTAATGACACTTGATTTGTCCAACAATGTTTCCGCCAAAGATTCTATTAATTAAATTTAAAATAAAACTATTCTATTACGACGAGAATTCTTATTTTTACTAAATCAAATGTCGAATCAGTTAGAAATGGTGGCCATTGAGAGTATTCAGCAAATTCGTAGACATTCTTTCTATCAAGTATATCGTCATATTGTTTGATACTGGATTTCTTTTTTAGTAATAAGTCAGGTATAAATGTTGTTATCAATATTCCTGAGAATATACCAATCATTAGGCATTTTATTTTAGATTCAAGTAATTTATATGCCATAATAAATCATTCTGAAAGATATAAAATTTGCGCGTTGGTTAAAAAAAGGAATTTTGAGTTCTATTGATCAGAAAAAAGAGTCAGTTGCATCTACCGGAATCGATTTATCAAAAAAAAGAAAATTTGCAGCTAAAATATATTTTTGTGATACAACTGAGGCATTTGATCAAGAAGACCTAAATAAATGTTGATTTTTTTGTTTTATCAATATCTAAAAGGAACATATTTACCTCGTTTTGATAGTTCATTTTTATTGAATAACCGATTGAAATATTTCTATAAAAAAAAATAAGAATCATTTATTCAATGCAGTAGAAGGAAGTCATAAAGACTTTAATAGTTTATAGGCCGTTCAATGTGTTTTTTTATAAGGTACAGGCAATTCAAACTACGAGTGAAATTTGTTTTTCACCATTTTTTATATGATTTGATAGAGCGTGAGCTGCTGATCAAGAAAATCTACTTTTTAATCTTAGCAAATGCTTTCTTCCGGTCGAAAAATACGGAATAGCGGTAGGGTGTCGTTTCCTGCAAAAAACATATCTTTTTCAAAATACATCAAATTTTCTGTTGTATTCTTTTCTTTCAGCTTTTGAAACTATTTGTTTCAGATTCAGCCTTAAAAACTGACTATAAAGAGGCGTTTAAATCAACCCTAGACCCTAAATTTTATTGGTAGTGGCACTTCGAATCACGTTCAGTGCACTAACGATTTGTCGATTTTGTAAACTTATCTAGTTTTTCTGTGTAAGTGATGGAGTCAAATATTTTATTTCATTCGATCCATCGTACCACCAATCATAAAGTTACAGATCATTTTTTTCTCATTTCTTTCCTATGTTGAGAAAATTCGTTTATACTTGTATGATAGAATATGATCGGATAAACGGGAAGGTGATGTTTGAATAAACTATCTGTTTTTTATTCAAATCTAGTAAAAATCTA